TGGGGAGGTCGAACCCCATGCACCATTACAGGCTGGGGGATGACCTGCTAGATAGCAGCTCTGCTGAGAGGGACCTGGGAGTCCTGGTGGATGACAAGCTGACCATGAGCCAGCAGTGTGCCCTTGTTGCCAAGAAGGCCAATGGTATCCTGGGGTGCATTAAGAGGAGTGTGGCCAGCAGGTCGAGGGAGGTTCTCCTCCCCCTCTACTCTGCCCTGGTGAGACCCCACCTGGAGTACTGTGTCCAGCTCTGGGCTCCCCAGTTCAAGAAAGATGAGGAACTCCTAGAGAGTTCAGAGGAGAGCACAAGGATGATGAGAGGACTGGAGCATCTCCCCTGTGAGGAAGGGCTGAGGGAGTTCGGCTTGTTCAGCCTGAAGAAGAGAAGACTGAGAGGGGACCTAATCAACATGTGCAAGTATCTCAAGCGTGGATGTCTCGAGGACGGAGACAGACTCTTCTTGGTGGTGCCCAGTGACAGGACAAGGGGCAATGGGCACAAACTGAAGCATAAGATGTTTCAGTTGAATATGAGGAAAAACTTCTTTACTTTGAGGGTGACTGAGCACTGGAACAGGCTGTCCAGGGGGTTTGTGGAGTCTCCTTCTCTGGAGATATTCAAAGCCTGCCTGGACGATGTCCTATGCAACCTGCTCTAGGTGAACCTGCTTTAGCAGGGTGGGTTAGGCTGGATGATCTCCCGAGGTCCCTTCCAACCCTTGACATTCTGTGATTCTGAGTTGTGTCCTGGTAATGGACAAAATTCTAGGTGCCATTATACACACTCAGCCAAAGTGACATTGGACAAGCTGTTGAATTTCTTTCTCTCAATTTGCTATGAGAATAGCTTTATAAACTTTCCCCTCTTGGGAGCAGGGATAATTAATCAACTGATGTTTGTCAGGCTTTATTGCTAGTCCTCACATTAGGTCAGATCATCATAATCTTTAAACATGGTAGTAAGTAAAGACTTTCTATATAGCGTAAACCCTCTAAACTGAAGCTGAGTAATTGAGACTGGACTGTGTTGGTTTTGGTACCATTCCATACTTACTGTGAGAAACCCTTTCGCTGGTAGTGCTGTATCAACTCTCCATGGTCTCTCTAATGACCTGTCTCTCATGCTCTATATCATCAATGAGTTTGTGTTGGGAGAGAAAGACTTTTGGTTCAGTTTTCTTTCTCCAAAACATTGTGTTTTTCAGAATCTGATTTATTACTTACAAATCCTCTACTAAATGGAGTTCATTTACCCTGTACCTCACAAGTGACTTTGGTGGTTTCATCATTTTCTGTCCACTCCAGTGGCACCTCTTTCCTATCATCACCACAGCTAGATTTAAATTCCTTCCACAATTTTACTTGGATAATCTACCCTCTCCTTGATTGCTTTACCCCAGAAAACAGTCCATCAGTAGTTTCTGTGAAAGTCTACTACTACTGCCTCATTAGTATAGACTTTCTAATGACTTATGCTTCATTTTACTGTGGTGGCATTTTTGGACTAAAAGGTTCATTCATTGTTGTGTTGTTTTTTAAACCAGAGTAATACTATACTAAGAGCAATATTTTTGTTTTCTCATATATTTTCAAGTATTTGACTGTTATGTTCAGGTTATGAACATCCATTTAGTTAACGAGCAGTGTTTTCTTTTTAAGTGCAAATCAGTGCCTGCAAGAACTAACACATATTTGTTTTACAGTAGAGTATTTCAATAAGAAGTTTGTAGACAAATCTGAGAATTCTTTCTGTTAAACCATGAAGTAAAGGGTTCAAGATTCTTTGGGCCTAAACCATTGATATCACACATTCTAGTGGATAGAGCACTCTGCTGAGAAGTGTATTTGGATGTTTTTGGACACTTTTAAAAAATGTCTAAATTATAGCTTACATAGAAAAGCAAATAAAAACTACTCCTGGAGGAGATGCAAATTCATCTTTTGTATCTCACTGAAGTTAGTTAGGTACAGAGCCAGTCCTGCTTGGGGTACTTTTGAGAATACTCAGAAGCAGATGGAGAAATATGAAAAAGAAAAAAAAAAAATATTGCCTGAAATGTTATCTAGGACATGACATTCACGCCCCCTCTTTATCTGGGGATTTCTATGGCCTTTGGGAAGTAGTTCCAGAAGCAACATGCCAATTTTGCTGAAGTCCCACTATCAGTTGCTCTGCTCTCTATGGAATTAAGCTCTGATTTTTTAGGTGTCTCTTCCTATTGTCAGAATAGAGAGTAGTCCATAACCTGCTGAAATAATTTAGGCCTACAGACCTCTGTGAGCTTTGACCCTGGCCCTCTGGCATTATATTTCCCCACACTCAGAAATACATTGCCTCACTATATTTGTGTCCTTTACTTCTGGGAAATGCAGCAAGACTCTCTCTTGATCTTTATATAGAAATATTCTAAATTGGTGTCCCGTTTTTTTCTGGAAGTGGAGCAGACAGAGAACAGCAAAGCAGAGATTTAGTAAAATTAAAGAAAATTGAGGTGTACCTAATAGATTTAAGTTCCTTCTATCACTTTTTTATTTCCTTTTAGGTAGTACAAACATTATGGTTACCTTGAGAAAGAATTTGCTTAAGTTTGGTAGTTTTACTTTAATTTGAAACAAGCAAAGAAAATGTAAAATTATATCAGAATAAACAAAGGATTGACAAAGTAAAATCTGGCCAAGAAGCAAGTGGATTTCAGCTGAAGCTACACGTAGAGCACAGTGTTCAAGTTTACTTTTTACTCATGGTACTTATTGAAACCTGAGTCT